CTGGATGGCCATCTGTCAGGGGTGATTTGAATGCAATATTCCTGCTTCTTGGCAGGGGGTTGGACTGGGTAGTCCATGAGGTCTCTTCCAACTCTTTGATTCTATGATTCTATGCCCACGTCTTCCATGTAGAATTTTATCTTGTAAGGGGAAAAATGAAGACAAAAGGGAAAAAAGGGAAAATAAGGGAGAGTTGAAATGAGTTGAAATGTCACTCTAAGGCAGGTTTCCCCAAACTAAAGCCCACCCTACCCATCTCTCACCCTAAATTTTAGATTTAGAGTCTCCCTAAGTCTGAAACGAATTGAAGGCTCAGGACAACGACTGGGTTAAGTTTGTTCTTCCTTTAAATATTGTATTTTCCTTTCATTTTTTGCATTATAAATAGTAGGCCTGGGCAATGCATGGTTCTAAATGGTTCTAAAGTACTTACAAAACTAAAGTTCTGGTGGTGAAAATTTCAAAACTCTAACAAAACTCTCAAAATGTCATTATAAATGGCAGTTCCTAATTGTTTCTGTCATAAAAATCGCCAATAGTGAAATAATATTTAAATTTTGAAAGTTTTGTTAAGAGTTCTGAAATTTTCACCACCAGAACTTTAGTTTTGTAAGTACTTTAGAACCATGCATTGCCCAGGCCTAATAATGTTATTATTATTATTATTATTATTATTATTATTATTATTATTGTCGTGTCAGGAGCGACTTGAGAAACTGCAAGTCGCTTCTGGTGTGAGAGAATTGGCCGTCTGCAAGGACGTTGCCCAGGGGACGCCTGGATGATTTGATGTTTTTATCATCCTTGTGGGAGGCTTCTCTCATGTCCCCGCATGAGGACCTGGAGCTGATAGAGGAAGCTAATCTACCTCTCCCCGGATTCGAACCTGCGACCTGTTGGTCTTCAGTCCTGCCAGCACAGGGGGTTTTACCCACTGTGCCACCGGGGGCTCCGGCCTAATAAATAAGATATATGCAGTGTGCATAGTAATTTGTTCTTTTTTATTTCAAACTATAGTCCGTTCCCCCAACACTTTGAGAGACCATGAACCGGCCCCTCGGCTTAAAAAGTTTGAGGAACCCTGCTCTAAGGTCAACAGAACAATGCAGTCTAGTAGTGGCAATAAAATTATGTCAAACTGTCGAGTCGAGTTGCTTGAAAGCATCATGTATTTCTACTGAGCAGTGTATTCCTTGCAGGTGGAATTTCATGCGGGATTTTCTTGTAAGCCTTGCTAATGCGTAAGACTACTTGGGTGTCATTGCCACAGTGTTTAAGGCTTTATTCTCTCCCAAGGCTAGCTGTTCACAGTCTCCAATTCCCACACCCTGTACCCTATAATAATAATAAATGTTTTATACCCCACCACCATCTCCCCAATGGGGACTTGGAGCAGCTTACATGGGGTCAAGCCCGGACAACATATTACAACAAAATAAAACCAGAGCATAAACAATAAACAACATCATCAAAATTACATAAAAGGGAAAAAAAGGGGAAAAAAACCCACAGTCATAAAGTATCATTCCAATAAGCACAATCACAATAACAATGGGCGGGCCACATGTACAGGATAAAACGATTAAAAGACTCTAATGAGATAAAAATGGGAGCAAGTTATTTGCAGGAAACTCATAAAAATACACAGAGTTGTGAAGCTAAACTTCCCATTTGGAGGGCGTGTATTCCAATGGGAAGAGCGTTGAGGGGTGCAATGTTGTCATATTATGCACCTACTCGCCAAAGGCGCAAGAACCAGGTTTTAAGGTTCTTTTTGAACGTTTCTAGAGAAGGGGCTTTCCTGATCTCTCCAGGTAATGAGTTCCAAAGTCGGGGAGCCACAGAGGAGAAAGCTCTCTCCCTTGTGCCCACAAGACAAGCTTGTGAGATTGGTAGGGGTGAAAGGAGGGCCTCCCCTGAAGAGGGCCCGGGTTGGTACATGGAGAAAGATACGGTCATGAAGGTAGGCAGGTCCCAAACCGATTTTTTTTGTCGTATCAGGAGAGACCTGAGAAACTGCAGGTTTCTCCTGTTGTGAGAGAAATGGCTGTCTGCAAGGACGTTGCCCAGGGGACGCCCGATGATTTGATGTTTTTATCATCCTTGTGGGAGGCTTCTCTCATGTCCCCGCATGAGGAGCTGGAGCTGATAGAGGGAGCTCATCCGCCTCTCCCCAGATTCGAACCTGCGACCTGTCGGTCTTCAGTCCTGCCGGCACAGGGGTTTAACCCACTGCACCACTGGGGGCTCCTTTGTAGGTGATAATCTGTACCTTGAATTGGGACCAGAAAATAAATGGCAGCCAGTGGAGCTTCTTAAACATGGGAGTCAACCACTCCCTATAACTAGCCCCAGTTATTAATCTGGCTGCCGAACATTGGACAAGTTGTAATTTCCGGGCCGTATTCAAGGGTAGCCCCATGTAGAGTGCATTGCAGTAGTCCAGTCTAGAGGTAATTAAGGCATGGAACACCATGGGCAAGTCAGACTTCAAGAGTTATGGTCGCAGCTAGTCCTATGCCAAGCTTTTCCAGAGTGAAAATTTGAAAAAAATTACCTAGCTGAATTAGGTGAACTATGACTAGTTCTGCTTTATAATTATTTCTAAACAAGTTATAATATGAAGTGCAAGCAGCAGCGTGTCCAAAAGAAATTGCTTTCCTTAAGTAGATACTTATTGTTGGAGCAGGGAGGTTATGGCCTTCCAGCTGCTTTTGGTTTCTTGCCCCAATTATTACAGATTATTCAGTCAAAGGTTCCCTGTCCCTGCTGTATATCCTAGCTTGTTTCCATTAAGCTTCAGGATTTCACTAAACCATTTTCTCAATTGGGGTGACATGGACCCGGGATAGTAAATTGAGTTATTTTTCTCTTCCACCTGGTATAGATCACACGATTGGAACAAACATGGAAGCACCTGCGCCAAAGCTACACCCAGAGTGCCATCATCTTTGAGAAAGAGCTGAAGCCTCTCATGGGGCGCCTGAACAGGGCTGAAGGTGAGGTGTAATAGACTTTGCTTTCATTTTGACTCCAACAAGCAAGGAAGAGAAAAGGGCCAGTTTGGTGTAATGGTTTGAGCATTAGACTACTTTCACGGGGCCCTGTGATGTGCACAAGCGACGGACCTGGACCAAATTTGGCACACATAACCCCCATGACCCACTTTACGTGCTGGTGCAGTTTGGGGGAGGTGGACCACCGATTATGGGAATTGTAGTACTTTAAAATGCTTGGGCAACCACAGAACATTGCGGCCCCCACCAATGAGAGATCAAGGCCAAACTTGGCACACAGAGCCCCCATGACCCACTCTACATCCTGGTGAGGTTTGGAAGAGGACGGACCATGGATGATGGGACTTGAAGTACCTTCACTCACTTCCTGAGACCGCTGTGACCCTCATCTAATGACTGATCAAGACCAAACTTGGCACACAGAGCCCCCATGACCCACTCCACATCCCAGTGCAGTTTGGAGGATGCACCATGGATGATGGGATTTGAAGTACCTCTACTCTTTTCCTGAGACCACCGCAACCCTCATCCAATGACTGATCAAGACCAAACTTGGCACACAGAGCCCCCATGACACACTCTACATCCTGGTGCTGAGGAGGACGGACCATGGATGATGGGACTCACAGTACATGTTAATCTATGTCCTTCCTGTGCTCTTGCAGTTAAGGCTTTCTGTTGTGCCATGAAGCTCAAGACCTGAAAGTTGGGCTTCAGTTCACTGAATCATTTATGCAAAGGATCTATGACAATTCCTTCTTTCTCTTCCCCACAGGGAATTCAGTCTCCTCCCCAAAGGAGGCTGCAGTTCCCCACATCCTGCCCCTCCTCAGCCTTATGGAAGGAGAAGAATTGTGGGGGGACAGTGGAGAAACGTGTGATGTCCTTCTAAAAATGCTAGAAGCTGGCCGCTTCATTGCCACCAATGCCAATGCCTTTCGAGTCAGTGCTGAGGCTAAGCTCCAAGGTAGGACAACTCTTGGGTTGTTGTAGATTTTTCAGGCTATATGGCCATGTTCTAGAAGAATTCTCTCCTGACGTTTCGCCTGCATCTATGGCAAGCATCCTCAGAGGTTGTGAGGACAACTCTCTTCGGGAATAATCTGCTTTGCTCAGCTGAGCATATCCTACCAGGCAACATCCGGAGTTGAGGCTGACTTTTTCTTCCTTTGATGTATCTCTGACGTTGCGCCTGCCAAAATACATGGGGCTGCCTCCCTTTACTTGCATAGCAAAGTAGGCTCAACTGAGAGAGAGGTGCTTAAGGATTTAGAGTTTCAGAGCTGTGCATGAATTCATACTTGTGCTTTTTATATCCAAATGCAACCCAACAACATCTGCTCTGATTAATTCGCTGCAATTGTCCTCAGAAGCACTTTACTACCCGTTGGGTTAGGAGCCCCCGGTGACGCAGTGGGTTAAACCCCTGTGCCGGCAGGACTGAAGACCGACAGGTCACAGGTTCGAATCCGGGGAGAGGCGGATGAGCTCCCTCTATCAGCTCCAGCTCCTCATGCGGGGACATGAGAGAAACCTTCCACAAGGATGATAAAAACATCAAATCATCCAGGCGTCCTGTGGGCAGCATCCTTGCAGACAGCCAATTATCTCACACCAGAAGTGATTTGCAGTTTTTCAAGCCGCTCCTGACACGACCAAAAAAAAAACAAAACCCCGTTGGGTTGGTCTCCCTACATTATCTTTTAAAACCCTCCTGCTTAGATACATCCTACCTCTGTTCACGCACAGTGTTTATTTAAAAAAAATTAATTTATTACATCTGGCCTGGCCATAAGGTTTTAAATTATGTGTTATTGTTTATATGTAAGTTATATTAATTGTACTGTTTTATTTGCTTGCTGTTTTGTTTTTACTGATGTGTTGTTGGGCTTGGCCTCATGTAAGCCGCCCCGAGTCCCCCTGAGGAGATGGTGGCGGGGTATAAATAAAGTATTATTATTATTATTATTATTATTATTATTATTATTATTACTATTAACACTTTGTCTGCACCACCCATGGCGGAAGGTTGCTGCTTGAGGAATTAGTATTACTTTTGCTCGCCATCTTCATCTTGGTCAGATGGGTTCAAGCTGGCCTTTGGTGGCATTATTCTCCATGGCGGTGATACCATAAACATATCCTTCAATTGCAGATGCAGAACCCATTTCCCCTTCATTGGCTTCAATACAGTAGAGACGGCATATGAAAGTTGGGCTATATGGCCATGTTCTGGAGGCATTTTCTCCTGATGTTTTGCCTGCATCTATGGCAAGCATCCTCAGAGGTAGTGAGGTCTGTTGGAAGTAGGAAAAAGGGTTTATATATCTGTGGAATGACCAGGGTGGGACAAAGGACTTTTGTCTGTTGGAGCTAGGTGTGAATGTTTCAACTGACCACCCTGATTAGCATTTAATGGTTTGGAAGTGCCTGGGGGAATCATTTGTTGAGAGTGATTTGATGTGCCTGATAGTTTACTCTCTGTTGTTTTGCTGCTGTAATGAAAGTTGTGTTCTAAAGTCAACTGAAAGTAAATTTCTTGAATACGTGGAACTGACATAAGTGTGAATGTATTAGTTTCTCATAGATTTTGTTGGTCTGCTTTAGTTTGGATTAACAATCATGTTTAGGCAAGGTGAGAGAAATATGTAGCCATCCAGATGTTACTGATGTGTCCCAAGTTGACACTTGCTTAGTATTCCTGATTTTCAACCTAATAGATGTGTGTAGTCAGCCCTCTATCTCCACAAATTCTGCATCCACAGCTTCAACCATCCGTGACTTGCCATTTTATGTAAGGGGTGCCACTTGAGTACACTGTTGTATACAACAGGACTTGAACATCCACAGATTGTGGTATACCAACCCCCAGCAGATACCAAGGGTCCACTGTATGTAAATGAGTAGCAGCCAGTTGAAGGAGAAAAGAACTGTATTAGATTGGAGCATATTATCACTCATTTGTGTCAAGTGTAAAACAGAATCACAGAGTTGGAAGAGACGTCATGGACGATCTAGTACAACCCCTTGCCACCCAGGAAAAGCACACTCAAAGCACCCCCAATAGATGGCCATTCAGCCTCTGTTTAAAAGCCTCCAAGGAAAGAGCTTCCACCAGGCTCTGAGGCAGAGAGTTGCACTGTTGAACAGCTCTTATGGTCAGGAATCATAGAATCAAAGAGTTGGAAGAGACCTCATGGGCCATCCAGTCCAACCCCCTGCCAAGAAGCAGGAATATTGCATTCAAATCACCCCTGACAGATGGCCATCCAGCCTCTGTTTAAAAGCTTCCAAAGAAGAAGCCTCCACCACACTCCAGGGCAGAGAGTTCCACTGCTGAATGGCTCTCACAGTCAGGAAGTTCTTCCTCATGTTCAGATGGAATCTCCTCTCTTGTAGTTTGAAGCCATTGTTCCGTCCTAGTCTCCAAGGAAGCAGAAAACAAGCTTGCTCCCTCCTCCCTGTGGCTTCCTCTCACATATTTATACATGGCTATCATATCTCCTCTCATCCTTCTCTACTTCAGGCTAAACATGCCCAGTTCCCTAAGCCGCTCCTCATAGGGCTTGTTCTCCAGACCCTTGATCATTTTAGTCGCCCTCCTCTGGACACATTCCAGCTTGTCAAGAGGAGGGCGACTAAAATGATCAAGGGTCTGGAGAACAAGCCCTATGAGGAAGTTCAGGTGGAATCTCCTTTCCTATAATATGAACCCATTAGTGCAATTTAACAGGTAGGGTTTCCATTAACACCTTTGGGTGCATCTACATCAGTGGTTCTCAACCTGTGGGTCCCCAGATGTTTTGGCCTACAACTAACAGAAATCTTAGCCAGTTTAATAGCTGTCGGGATTTCTGGGAGTTGAAGGCCAAAACATCTGGGGACCCACAGGTTGAGAACCAATGATCTACGTTGTAGAAGTAATATAGTTTGACACCACTTTAACTGCCATGGCTCAATACTATGGAGTACTGGTAGTTTTAGTTTGGTAAGGCACCAGTATTCTGTCAAAAGAGAACAACACTGTAAAACTACTATTCCCAGGATACCATAGTATTGAGCTATGGCAGTTAAAGTGGTGCCAAACTAGTTTATGGGTCTGCTTTTCTCCATAACTTGCTAATGCAGCCTCCTCTAGAATCATTACCACCTCTTAGGGAAGTAATGCCACCCCTCTATTCTGCCTTGGTTAGACCACACCTGGAATATTGTGTCCAATTCTGGGCACCACAATTGAAGGGAGATGTTGACAAGCTGGAATGTGTCCAGAGGAGGGTGACTAAAATGATCAAGGGTCTGGAGAACAAGCCCTATGAGGAGCGGCTTAAAGAGCTGGGCATGTTTAGCCTGAAGAAGAGAAGGCTGAGAGGAGATATGATAGCCATGTATAAATATGTGAGAGGAAGTCATAGGGAGGAGGGAGCAAGCTTGTTTTCTGCTTCCCTGAAGATCAGGACATGGAACAATGGCTTCAAACTACAAGAAAGGAGATTCCATCTGAACATGAGGAAGAACTTCCTGACTGTGAGAGCTGTTCAGCAGTGGAACTCTCTGCCCTGGAGTGTGGTGGAGGCTCCTTCTTTGGAAGCTTTTAAACAGATGCTGGATGGCCATTTGTCAGGGGTGATTTGAATGCAATATTCCTGCTTCTTGGCAGGGGGTTGGACTGGATGGCCCATGAGGTCTCTTCCAACTCTTTGATTCTATGATTCTATGAGGAAGAACTTCCTGGCAGCGAGAGCCGTTCAGCAGTGGAACTCTCTCCTTGGAGTGTGGTGGAGGCTCCTTCTTTGGAAGCTTTTAAACAGAGGCTGGATGGCCATCTGTCGGGGGGTGCTTTGAATGCAATTTTCCTGCTTCTTGGCAGGGGGTTGGACTGGATGGCCCATGAGGTCTCTTCCAACTCTATGATTCTATGATTCTTTGGAGCTGTAATGTGCTGTACTTTCCACTAACAGGATGGTATTTCATAGTTGCAGTGACAGGAGCTATGATGATGTTGGGGACAGTCATTGTCTGTGTGACACTCTTCTAAGTTTTACAGTTCCTCCATTTTATTGTCTTTCCTCCATTCAGGTTTCCAAGCTACTCCAGAGCTCCTGGAAGCATTTCAGACAGAATTCTCTCTTCGTTTATTCTGGGGCAGCAAAGGAGCCGAGGCAGGCCGGGCTGAGAGACACAGGAAATTCGAACAGATCCTGACTGTGCTTTCGCAGAGACTAGACTAAAAAGCTCATGGAAGACTACTTTAATTCCTCTGGGAATGGAAAAGAGAAACAAAGGGAAGAGCTCCCCACTGCTGGAAGGAAATGCACACTGAGCTGAAACCTGGGAGTGTGCCAGGCACTGAATGGTGTAGAGGGTGTTGTTTGCAAGGAGCTGAACACTTACCAGAGATACAGACACTTTCTACAGGAGAAAAAAAAATGGCTTTCTTTCCATGGACAGAAATGACGGTGCATTCCCCTTAAATGTGGTGCCTTGTTTTTTGCTAATACTGTCGGGTTCTGCAAAGGACCAGGAAAGGAATAGCCAGCCCTTGATCGGTATGTGGTGTGGAGAGTACCACTGTCTCTACCTGCTGCAGATCAGAAGCTTAGCAGGCTAGGACTTCTGGCAGAGGCCCAAATCTGGCTTGGTAGCAATTGTGTGCATGGATTGTAAGAGTGGGAACAATGACTACTTTGGAAAAGACAGTTTGGTTTAGTCAGTCAGTCAGTCCAAAAAAGCTAGTCACACAAACAAAGGTTCTCAGCTGCTGACAGAGCGGCGGATGAAGAGAACTGAGGCGGTGGCCCCACCCACCTGCTACTTATACTCACAAGGGGAGAGTGGGCGGGGCTAACCGCCAGAAAAGTTTTCAAATTTATCTAGAAGGTTCCAAAGCTGTCTGCTCAGGTGCAGAACCTACCATATGTGCGATTCACAGTTGACCACGGTGGGAAAACAATGACTACTTTGGAAAAGAATGGGATACGTTGCATCCAGTGGCGGCCCTAGGTAATTTTCAATGGTAAGCAAACAGTATTTTGGTGCCCCCCCCCCAACCAATCATTGATATATATATTTTCTGTTCGTCGTGGGAGTTCTGTGTGCCATATTTGGTTCAATTCCATCATTGGTGGAGTTCAGAATGCTCTTTGATTGTAGGTGAGCTATACATCCCAGTGACTACAACTCACATATGTCAAGGTCTATTTTCCCCCAAGAGCACCTCAAGAGCGCCCCTGAGCAAAATCAACTATACTGCAAAAGCTTACTTTGCATAATGGGTTGAGCCGCCCCTGGTTGCATCTCTATTAACAGTCTGTGGTTGCAGTTCCACATGTCGACAGTAGTGTTGTTTTCTTTTAAAAAACAAGTTGCTTTGTGATTTTAAGCACCTTAAGGAGTATAAGTAGAAAACGGAATGCACTTTAAAGTGGGGCAGAGTTTGGGCCTTCGTGATCTCCTTTTGTTTTCCAATCGAAACCTAGAGTCCTGCAGCTGGACTCAGATATTAAATCATTTCCCAAGAAGCGAGAAGTAGTACTGAAGAACAATATCTCTTGGAGCATTTGCCCAGTCTAGGTTTTGGTACCAAAAATGGGGTGCGACCATAAATCTCTTATCTCCTCCCTTTTCTACTTTTCAGGAACTGAATTTAGGAGACAAATGAGGCTTTTTGTTACTGCATTGGTGAACCAATCAGCAGTCAGAAGCTGCTTCTAGGCTACATGCTTTTTCTTAACATAGGAAGCTGCCTGTAACTTCTTAATGGTAAAGAAACTTCAAATTACATAGTTTGCTGATGCATTCTCAAGACAATATAAGGCAGGGGTCCTCAAACTAAGGCCCGGGGGCCAGATACGGCCCTCCAAAGTCATTACCTGGCCCTCGCTCAGGGTCAACCTAAGTCGGAAATGACTTGAAAGCACACAACAACAACAATCCTATTTCATCAGCCAAAAGCAGCCACACTTCCCATTGAAATATTAATAAGTTTATATTTGTTAAAATTGTTCTTCACTTTAATTATTATATTGTTTTTATGTGTCTTTTGCACTACAAATAGGATAAGTGCAGTGTGCATAGGAATTCATTTTTGTTTTTTTCCAACAGTTTGAGGGATTGTGACCTGGCCCTCTGTTTAAAAAGTTTGAGGACCCCTGATTTAAGGGAACCTGCTTCCACAGTGCTTTGAGGATGCTACGGAAAGGAGACACTTGCATAGGATCCATTTGTGGCAGGAAAAAGAAACTTGGTTGGCAAAGAAGCAAAGCAACAGTTATAACAGGAGGTAGGCTGGTAAGTCAAGCTCCTGCTTCTGGATGCTACAGCTTTCTACTGTGCCAGTTTGGCTCCACATCTATCTGTAGCTCATTCACATAGAAACCCATCCCTTCTAATAAGTTTTCCTTCTAGTCCAGGCGGACAGCTTTCTCCAGGCTTAACACCAGAAGCGACTTGCAATTTCTCAAGTCGCTCCTGACACGACAAAAAAAATAAATAAATAGAAATTAAAAGTTCAAATCACTTCCTGGAAAACAAGCATCAGGGGAAGGGATTTTTTTATAAGTTAACCTACCAGCAGTGGGTTAAACCATTGAGCTTGCTAAACTTGTTGACTGAAAGGTCACAGGTTCGAAATCGGGAAGCAGCGTAAGCTTCCGCTCTCAGCCCCAGCTTCTGCCAACCTAGCAGTTCGAAAACATGCAAATGTGAGTAGATCAATAGGTACTACTCTGGTGGGAAGGTAACAGCGCTCCATGCAGTCATGCTGGCCACATGACCTTGGAGGTGTTTACAGACAACGCTGGCTCTTCAGCTTTGAAATGGAGATGAGCACCACACCCCAGAGTTGGACACAACTGGACTTAATGTCAGGGGAAAACCTTTACCTTTACCAATAGTTCATAACTATTTGTGATAGCAGATTCTGAACCATGATTTTTCTCATGTTCCTTTATGTAGTGATGCACTGTTCTTTAGGATCTTCGTGACCCATACATATGGGTTGTCCTGCACCTATTGACCCAGTTGTAAGATTTTATATTTTAGAATACAAATAGAAGGGCAGTTAAGGCTCGGAAAACACTATGCAAGACAATTTTTGTTCCCGGTTCATAAATGTCATTTCCTAATTGGTTCTATCATCAAAACATGGGAAAAGTTTAACTGCAAAAACTTTTTGCGGGACATCCCACAGCACATTTTCCTATAGTTTTTCTGAGTTTTTCATAATTTTTCATAGTTTCCTGAGTTTTTCAATAAATATCTCATAGAGCAGGGGTCCTCAAACCTTTTATACAGAGGGCCAGGTCACAGTCCCTCAAACTGTTGGAGGGGCGGATTATAATTTGAAAGAAACATGAATGAATTCCTATGCACACTGCACATATCTTATTTGTAGTGCAAAAAAAAACAAACACTTAAAACAATACAATAATTAAAATGAAGAACAATTTAAACAAATATAAAATTATTAGTATTTCAGTGGGAAGTGTGAGCCTGCTTTTGGCTGATGAGATAGGATTGTTGTTGTTGCTGTTGTGTGCTTTCAAGTCGTTTCAGACTTAGGTTGACCCTGAGCGAGGGCCGGGTAAATGACCTTGGAGGGCCATATCCGGCCCCCGGGCCTTAGTTTGAGAACCCCTGTCATAAAGACTCAACCAATTCAACATAGTTTGTGGCAGCCCCAAAGATGAAGTTTCTGGAATAGAACAACTACTTTCAAAGTAAGTATAGAATCATAGAGTTGGAAGGGACCTCATGGGCCATCCAGTTCAACCCCCTGCCACGAAGCAGGAATATTGCATTCAAATCACCCCTGACAGATGGCCATCCAGCCTCTGTTTAAAAGCTTCCAAAGAAGGAGCCTCCACCACACTCCGGGGCAGAGAGTTCCACTGCTGAACTCACAGTCAGGAAGTTCTTCCTCATGTTCAGATGGAATCTCCTCTCTTGTAGTTTGAAGCCATTGTTCCGGGTCCTTGTCTCCAGGGAAGCAGAAAACAAGCTTGCTCCCTCCTCCCTGTGGCTTCCTCTCACATATTTATACATGGCTATCATGTCTCCTCTCAGCCTTCTCTTCTTCAGGCTAAACATGCCCAGCTCCTTAAGCCACTCCTCATAGGGCTTGTTCTTCAGACCCCTGATCATTTTCGTTGCCCTCCTCTGGACACATTCCAGCTTGTCAATATCTCTTTCAATTTTGGTGCCCAGAATTGGACACAGTATTCCAGGTGTGGTCTAACCAAGGCAGAATAGAGGGGTAGCATTACTTCCCTGGATCTAGACACTATACTCCTATTGATGCAGGCCAAAATCCCATTGGCTTTTTTTGCTGCCACATCACATTGTTGGCTCATGTTTAACTTGTTGTCCACGAGGACAGCAAGATCTTTTTCACACGTACTGCTCTTGAGCCAGGCATTGTCCCCCATTCTGTATCTTTGCATTTCGTTTTTCCTGCCAAAGTGGAGTATCTTGCATTTGTCACTGTTGAACTTCATTTTGTTAGTTTTGGCCCATCTCTCTAATCTGTCAAGATCGTTTTGAATCCTGCTCCTGTCCTCTGGAGTATTGGCTATCCCTCCCAATTTGGTGTCGTCTGCAAACTTGATGATCCTGCCTTCTAACCCTGCATCTAAGTCGGGGTCCTCAAACTTTTTAAACAGAGGGCCAGGTCACAGTCCCTCAAACTGTTGGAGGGCCGGATTATAATTTGAAAAAAAAATGAATGAATTCCTATGCATACCACATATCTTATTTGTAGTGCAAAAATCACTTAAAAACAATACAATAATTAAAATGAAGAACAATTTAACAAATATAAAATTAGTATCTCAATGGGAAGTATGGGCCTATTTTTGGCTCATGAGATAGGATTGTTGTCATTGTTGTTGTGTGCTTTCAAGTCGTTTCAGACTTAGGTTAACCCTGATTGAGGGCTGGGTAAATGACCTTGGAGGGCCGCATCCGGCCTCCGGGCCTTAGTTTGAGGACCCCTGATCTAAGTCATTAATAAAGATGTTGAACAGGACCGGGCCAGGATGGAACCCTGCACCATTAAACACAAAATAACACTTTCGAACCAGGAACAGAAAAAAAATATATCACATTTTGTTACATAGTGTAATCTACCCCCAATTGGCTGTGTAGAGTGGGATCTGGTGAAATGAAGAAAAAAGAAAAAAGAAAAAAAGAGGCAGGCAACAGGCCTTCAGCAATTGAATGACAACATACACACTACAATCTAGCATTTTTATAAACATCTTGAAAAACCCACACTTGGGAGGCCAGAGAAACAAAACAAAAAAAGTCAACCGTACAGGCACCCACAAGTTACGTCTGTCTACTATTTACATAAAGTGTAAAAAGGCACCTGGAAATACATTCTACATCTCCAGAGCAGGGCTCGAACCCCTTCTACTCTGTCCACCAATGCACAATGGAGTTAGGGCCAGGGAGAGGGTTGGCTTTTACTGATTATGTGAACAAAAAGCTAAACTGAGTGGTAAAATAAAGTTGGTCACTGTACAAAAAAGCGAATTCGTTAGCATCCTCTTCTTTAAAAACACACAAATATGTAAGTGGGGTTGGGAATGGAGGATGGGGCAGGAGAAAGCCAGGAGACACTGACCTCCCTGATAGTAAAGGCTTTGAGGGAAGAGTGGGGGAAACAAACTTTTTGTTCGGAGCAGGCACTTTGTAATGGTTGAATGGGCCAGGCCAATCAGATCCAGGGAAAATTAAAGTGCATTTCGTGGGAAAATGACCTGGATGTCCTCTGATGCCAGTATGGCATCTGGCCTGTCTTCTACATGAAGATCCTCTCAGTGGTATTTGCACCATAGGATCTATGGCAGGTGATGTGCCCTGCTATGCAAATATTCTCACTCCCTCACCACCTCCATCCCTAACCACACGCAATAGGAGAACCCAAAGGCAGACATAGCAGCAACTGTGAGGGTGAAAGTTAAAGACTTTCAACCCAACTTTCTCCAGACTCATGCTTGGCACCCTAATGCATCAGGAACAAACACACATATGCCCCCTTTCTCAGCACATCAATGCAGAATCGAGCAGTAACAGATCTAGAGGATACAGCTCTGCTCTGACCAGCTTGGCTTATGGAAGGGAAGGGAAGTGAGTGTTACTACCACACGGGGGAAAAAAAGAGTGATTGATGGATCCATGTTCATGTGCCATAGGGCTGGGAGGAGAGGTGGCTCTCCTTTATGCAAAACTGTAACTTTGCCACAGGAGAGAAGGGTGGCACTCTTAACCATTCCTTCTAGTGTATGTTTCACAAGGAGTATAGTGTAGCTTTGCTTGCCCTGGGGGAGGGGGGAATAATGAGTGGTTGGGTGCCTGGACAAGAAGGTCACTCCCCCTCTTGTGCTCTCAGCCAAGACCATGCTTTGGGTAGGCTACAACCTACTTTTCTTCTATTCAACAAGACAGCTATTCTCGTCTCCCACAGCTCTGCGGTGATGTTTTAAGCACAAGGTTCCTTCCTTTCATGGCGCTCGTACACAGCGGGCAATGCGGTTTTGAAACACCACGCCTCTGTCTCTCCTCGTGCCCTGATGTTGTCTCCAAGCTTTAACTCTTGGGATGCCAAAGCCAACTTTCCCTCCCACTCAGTTTACATTCACCCGCAGGTAGGAGGTAGGGACGTAACCTTCGCCCCCTTTGCTTCTCCGTACACGTGTCCATCCGTCACCTTTGTCTTCCTCCATCAAGCTGAGCTCTTCGCCCTCCATCATGGAGATTGTACCCTCACTGGAACCTGGAAGGGAAAGCAACACTGATAAAAAGATGTGTTCAGTGAAATCACGATCAACCAGAAGGCAGATCCGTATAAATATGCAGATACTCCGTAGCACAGAAGCAGGGAGACCCTTACCATTTGCAAGCCTGGAAGAGCGCCAGGAGCAACCTAGGCAGATAGAACTACACGGTGAGGCAACATAACTTCCTTTTTTAAAATGCGTGCCATTCAGTCGGTTGAAGACGTAGTGGAGCGCTAGTAGTCTCGTTCAAGAGGCAGGAGTATAATAATAATAAATAATACTAACACTTTATTTGTACCCCGCTACCATCTCCCCAAGGGACTCGGTGCGGCTTACATGAGGCCGAGCCCGAATACAACATACAAGCAAAACAACAACAGTACAAGCAATTAAAATAAAACATAGATAATAAAATATACAACATTATCAATAAGACAACACACAATTAAAAACAGTGGGAAGGCCAAATGTCAAGTTAAAATGGAAATAATGCTGGGACATGGATGGAAGGTGATAGTGGCGTTTGTGGAAGGGCATACGAGCAGACCTAAAAAATGTAAAGTGCTTTGGAGGACAAAGTGCTATGGGATCATTATTTCGGGAAGGCACACTGGAACAACCACGTCTTCAAGCTCCTCCTGAAGATTGCCAAGGTTGGGGCCTGTCTGAAGTCTTTAGTTCCAGAGTTGAGGGGCCACCACCGAAAAGGCCCTCTCTCTCATCCCCACCAACCGCGCCTGCGATGCTGGTGGGATCGAGAGGAGGGCCTCCCCGGATGATCGAAGGGATCGCGTGGGTTCATATACAGAGATGCGGTCATGCAGGTAGGTGGGTCTCAAACCATTCAGGGCTTTGTAGGTGAGAACCTGCACCTTGAATTGGGTCCGGTAAATGAATAGCAGCCAGTGGAGCTCCTTGAACAGGAGGGTTGAC